GCAAGGGCGCGCGCGCGTAGGGGGCAGTGGGGCACGGGCGCTCGCATGCGGGGGCACTGGCGACCAGAACCGACTAATATAGAAAGAACAGACCAAAACTGACTAACATAGCAAGAACAGACCAAAACCGACCGATAACAGACAGAGAGGAGACCAAGAACAGACCCTAATAAAACATTAAAAAACATACATTTTTACATTTTTTTTTGACTTTTTGGGTATTAATAAACATTATAATTTATAAAAGAGAAAAATTGGTTAGAAAAGAAAAAACCTAGAACAGACCAAGAACAGACCAAGAATAGACTCTTGTAAAAAAATTAGAAAACAAACATTTGTACATATTTTTTGAACTTTTTGGGTATTAATAAACATTGTAATTTATAAAAGAGAAAAAAAAATTGGTTAGAAAAGGAAAAACCTAGAATAGACCAATAACAAACTCTTGTAAAAAATTAGAAAACATACATTTTTACATATTTTTTGGACTTTTTAGGTATTAATAAACATTATAATTTATAAAAGAGAAAAAAAAATTGGTTAGAAAAGGAAAAACCTAGAACAAACCAAGAACAAACTCTTGTAAAAAAAATTAGAAAACATACATTTTTACATATTTTTTGGACTTTTTGGGTATGAATAAACATTATAATTTATAAAAGAGAAAAAAAATTGGTTAGAAAAGAAAAAACCTAGAACAGACGCAAAACATACCAAGAACAGACCAAGAACAAACTCTAGTACCCAAAAAACTTAGAGTTTGTTCTTGGTCTATTCTAGGTTTTTTCTTTTCTAACCAATTTTTTTTCTTTTATAAATTAAAATGTTTATTAATACCCAAAAAGTCTAAAAAATATGTAAATTTATGTTTTTTAATTTTTTACAAGAATCTGTTCTTGGTCTGTTCTCTGTCTGTTCTCGGTCGGTTCTGGTCTGTTCTTGCTATGTTAGTCGGTTCTGGTCTGTTCTTTCTATATTAGTCGGTTCTGGTCGCCAATGCCACCCGCGCACGCGCGTGCCTGTGCCCCCGCGCGCGCACCCGTGCCACCCTCTCCTCCTCCCCCCCCGCAACCCCTACCGTGTACTAGTGCCCCCTGATAAAACCCGATTTTACAATGAAACACGCGTTTTGCCATCTTCGGGACTGGTTCAAAATTTTCCAAAAAAAAAACATACATTATTGTGTAAAAATTTGGGCAGCATTTCCGCATAAATATAAGCTTCCCCAGAGCCAAAATAACCTGTTGAATATGATAATTATAAATGCATTGCAATGCCAATAATAAAAATATTGCAACACCAATAATGTTGTGTATACATTTTACAACAAGCAAAACAACCAACATTTCATATACTAGTACTCACCGGCCTCTTCAGCTTGTACTCGCTACAAATTCTGACCGCAAGTTCCAACCGGTAAGCTTCTACTTGTTGTTCAGCGAGGTCTTCTAATGGGATTCTGCGGACAAGGTATTCGATAAATTTGTATGTGAAAAGTCCGCAGTCACCTGATCTAAGGTTGTGGACCAACCACTTGGGACGAACGATTGGCCACGCACAGTCAAGTTTATCGCCCAGATGGTTAAATAAACCTGTGTACTTCAAGAACTTGGGCATCATGACAGCGATTGGCTCCACGTGTCTTTGCATCTGTTGATCTCTGTACATCATAACAGCTGAGTCATACACCTTTATGTTGAATTCAGATAAATCAACATAAGGCGCAACCCAATGCTTCCTCTCAATGTTAAGAGGCATAGTGAAGCCCTGCGCACCATCCCATTTCTGGCCAATTATGCATTTTTTTCACATACATATTCATCTAGGTCGTTGTCAAATGTATACGTTGCCAATTTCTTTTTGTTGGTGATGAATCGCGCTCTCAACTTTTGGTAAAATACATCATCTAGGACGACAATATTGTTATTGAACTACCCTTCGGGTGCCCTTGACCTTCTAATCGATAGAAGACCCCATGCATCGTCAATTTGCTGTAAGTCATAAAAAATAAATTCAGTATAATGATAATGGTATAAAAAATAAGACTATAAATTTAGAAAATATGTTGTGTGATTACTTACATCATTGAACATCCATTCACCTGGCTTCAAGATGATCCGGAAGAAGTCCTTCCTCCAATCTCCAAAACCGTACTCAATTAGTTCAGAGTTTGTACTAGAATCAGCGAACCACTTGTTGAAGGCCTCGACAGCAACGTTAAAGGTCCACATCTTCTTCCTCACGTTACGCAGGGGATCTATGTAAGGCGACTCAAAATACTTGATGGGCCTTTTAAGTCGCTTTTCATTCTTCGATTCAGACTCTGGCTCTGAATGAACCTGTTGCTCAAGTTGATCCTCAGGCTCTGGCTGAACCTGTGGCTCATGTTATTCCTCAGGCTCAGGCTGAACCTATGGCTCATGTTGTTCCTCAGGCTCAGGCTGAACCTGAGGCTCATGTTGTTCCTCAGGCTCAAGTTGAACCTGTGGCTCAAGTTCTGCCTCAGGCTCTGGCTGAACCTGTAGCTCAAGTTCTTCCTCAGGCACTGGCTTTGGCTGTAATTGTTGTTTCGCTAGACATGTTATATTGTCCTTAATTTCTCTAACAGATTGGTCTAGCGAGTCTAGCCTCTTGTTGATGGCTTCAAAATGTCTACTATTGTACTCTACCAACTTGTGATAGAGTATGTCAACTATGTAATCAATAGACATACCATCCTGCGGATGAGGTTGTTGCTGTTGTTGTTGTTGTTGTTGTTGTTGCTCAGGTTGTTGTTGTTGTTGTTGTTGTTGTTGTTGTTGTTGTTGTTATTGTTGTTGGGGAAGTTGCTGTTGTTGTTGGGCAAGTAGTTGGAGACAAGTCAAGTGTTTGGGAGGCTTCGGTTGCTGGACATGGACCATTCTTACACCAGAGTCCAAAAACGATGCAAGCTCGTCAATCTCAGGATCTTCTTGGTCGGCATAAGGCAGATACAACCTCATGCACATACTATTCATTTCCTCCTCAGTGGGATAAAGAATTGGTATGACCATTCCCTGTATATTAAAAGAACATACATTCAATGATTATTTAGGTGGAAACATAGTGTAAAAAAAAATAAATTTGCCTATTTTGTAAAATTTACACCTATAAAAACATTGTATTTAAACCCTTACCTCGCCACTTTGCATGAGGTCATCTATCTGTCTAATCTCGACCAATGAAACCTGGCGTACCTCCCATTTGAGGATTCTGGGAAGACGTCCATCAACCATCTTTGCAATTGTGGCGCCGATGGTTAGAAATGTTTCGAATGCCCAAACCTCCGTTAAACCAATTTTTTTAAGTTTAGTAAACCAATTATGACATTATTTACTATAAGGCCATGAAAAATTATGCATATAACTGTATGACATACCTGGAAGGCCCAAGGAAACCCGCATATTGAGTAGGTTTCCTTGATGCTCTTATTACGTCCTTTTCGAACCAATTTTTGGAATTTCTCTCTCAAGTTCTTTTTCAAAGCCCGCAGAGTGCATTCAAAAGACACCCTGCCCCATGGATAGTTGTTGAAGAATTCTAAATCGTCAACGTAAGACAGCCAATCCAGTGGGACAATCTTCTTCTCGTCCCCAGATAATAATACTTGTGCTAAAAAATAAATGATAGCGATCTTTGCTTTATCGCTACCTTTTATCTTCTTCCCTGTGAGCAATTTTTTTAAATCAGCAACAAGTACTACGTGGGACTTAAAATGCTCCAACAATCTTATATTATTTGAAGCTTTCAAGACCATGTCCGGCTCTGGAGTTTTCCCGCAGTTCAATCCAGTAATTAATGCAAATTCCCTCATTCCAAACCTAGTTATGGTTCCATTAACCATGAACCAAAACTCATGTCTCTTTTTTGTTTCTATCTGCCTGAAAAACAGATAGTGTGTCAACACTCCAAAATAGATCATATTTTTAGATATTGAAATAAAATGTCCGAAGGTAGATTCCTTGAAAATTGGTATTTCCGTTTCGGGGTCTAGATTCTGCCTTATTACCTCTAAAGCCTCGATCTTTGACTTCATAGTGACTTTCACTGGGAAATACTCCCGCATAGGATCCATGATCATCTTTAGACGTCCAAATGCAGGAAGTTCACTTGTGTTGTACTTTGGGAGGTCATACTGAAAAAAAAGAAAAAACACATCGGTCAGAACCGACCAAAACGACAGAACCGACTAGAATAGACCAAGAAACCAAAAAAGAACCGACTGAACCAACCATGACCCGACCGAGCCGACCCAAAAACCTGACAGGAATCGACCAAATAGACAGAACTGACCAAACCGAACATAATCGACCTGAACCGATCAAGAACCGACCACCAACCGGCCAAGAACCGACTTCACCTAGAACTGACCAAAATCGTCCAGAACCGACCTAACTCGACAAGAACCGACTCAGAACCGACCACTAAAAATGACTTAAAACCGACCTAGAACCGACTGCGAACAGACCAGAACCAAAACTGACTAAGAACCGACTATGAATAGACCAATGTTGCTTATATTAAGTTTTTGTTCTTGCAAAAATATATAAGAAAAGGTAAAACAAGAATATTACCTCAGCAGATTCCGTTGCCTCGTCGACAAGTGTTCGGGAAATGGCCGTTTTAGTTAAGGAACAAGAGTTGTTTTGTGATGCCATTCCAGTCTAAAAGTCGCCAGTTTTTAGTCAGATTTTGGTGAGAAGGTGGTCCATTTTTGTGGTCGGGAATTTGGTGAGTGGTCGGGATCGGTTTTTGGTCGGTTTTAGTGGGAATGGAGGTCGGTTTTGGTGAACGGTCGGTGTTTGGTGAGGAGTGGTCGGTCGGCCGACGAGAGAGATCGAAGAGAGTGGATCGGCCGGTAAGAGAACTTCGGCGAGAGAGAGAGAGAGAGAGAGAAACAGGTGAGAGGAAAGCCGGCGGTCGGTGATGGTCGGTCGTGAGGTTGGTGACTGATCGGAGAGAGAAGCCGGCGGTCGGTGAGAGGTGATCGGAGAGAAAAACCGGCGGTCGGTCGTGAGAGAGCTCAGTCGGGTGGAGAGAGGGTCGAGCGATCGGTTTCGGGGGGAAGAGAGGGTCGAGCGGTCGGTTTTGTGAGGATAGAGTTTTTGAAAATGACTCATACACTTGGACTAATAAGACCCATTTTTTACCACGTAAGATACACATCATGATTTTTTTGTTATAAAAAAAAAAAAAACTGATCTATTTCCTCAAATTATGTTTTGCTCTAGTCTCTTTTATCAAATTTTCTCAATGTTTACCCACCAACCAAACATCAAGGTAATGGGCCCATTCAGCTGCTTCCGCCTCCCTCAAGCGCGCCGTTTTTTCCCCTTTTTTTCCTTTCAGAGCGCGGCACTTTCTTTTTCTCTTCTCTCTCTTGCATCGCTTGAATTCCTCGCTCTTCAGAATTAACACTTCCATCAAAATCTAACCTCTGCAACGCTCTATCCCCAAGCCCTAGTTCACGCTTACGGCTCACTGCTAATGGCGGATGTCGCCGAGAGCTCTTCGGCTCAGACCAAACCGATGGACGCCAAACCGGTCGTTGTTCGGATTAAGCGCAAAGCCTCCCAGTCTCCACTCGATGCTTTCTGTGAGTTGTTGCTTCTTCTCGGACGGTTTTCTTTCTCATTTTCGTTTTTCGATGTTTGGTTGGCGAGAAAACTTCTGGAATGGAAAAAGAATACATGCTCCAATTTATTTTCCTTTTATTTTTCTGGAAGTAATTAAAAGGCATTGCCTTTGTATCTTTTACTCATGTGCTTGGAATTTTGAAATGGTTGTGTAATTTAGGGCTGGAAATTAATGAGAGGCCACTGAAGCGCGCGTTGTTGGATTTTGAGAATCTATCGATCTCTGATTTATCTGCAAAAGGTATTTTCTCATATTACTAATGACATTGAATTATAAATTTGACATTTTTCTTTATTGTTTTGGGCTTTGAGTTGAAGCGGAAATATAACTGATAATGCATTACAATCATAGTTGTGAATTGGAACTTGGAAGGAAGTTCTACAAAGTGAAATTATGTAGGCCTTTTCTGTTGGCTATGTGTTTGATAATATGTTATTCATATTATTACCTAGACTGTATTTATGTGATGGTTTTCGACCAATCTATGGATGCCTCATTGTTTGCCAAAACTACAACATTAGAAAGGGAAGTTAGCAAAATGTCCTTTTTCATTTTTTCACTTGAGCGACTCACTTAGCTGCGCAGTATAAAAAGGGGTGCTCACTCATTCCGAAGTCATTTTGTAAATTAAAACTTTTGAAAAGTTATTTTAACACCATTCTTTTTATTAAGGTTCATTTTTAGAGTTATTCCTCCATTGTACAACAGCGCTTCGAGTTCTAATGTATTTCATTCTTTTACATTAGAGGAATTGAAGAGTAAGAAGGTTTTCGTACAGCATGTGGAGACAGTGAGGAGCACTGAGGTCACTGTTGACATTGTGCAATTGTTTATGGTTAGTACTTTAATCCATTGGTCAGTCATGCTAGCTATTTCATGCTTCTAGGTGGAAATAACATGCTTTACCCTGGTTTTCTTACTATTTTATAGGAACCTAATTCGGCTGATACATCGGAATCTAAAACAAAAAGTGAGGAACGAAGAAACATTTTCAAGAAGGAGAATGTAAGCTATCTTTGTCTCTGCATCAATTACCCACCATGTCAATGTCCTTTATTAGAACTTTGATTCTTTTGTATGCTCGAAGACAATTATTTTTAGTACTTAAAGCTCTAATGTATTCTAATCTATCACGATTCACAACAGATACAAGATCAGCTTTTGTCTAAAGCGAGGCAAACACAGGAGGTATGTTACACAATATAACCCAGTTGTATTAATTTACCCGCCAAACAAAGGACATGCGTCCCTTGTCCTTAGCTTCTGATGACATATCTTTGGTTCTCCTAGATAACATATTGGTCTTTCATGATTTCATTAAAATTGAACCACTTTCACTATACAAGAATCCTTAAAATTGACTTGGTGAAAATTTGTTTTACTACATTTCATTTGGGCGTCATGTCATAGGCTGTTGCAAAAAATGCTCGTTTTGAACAAATATGGAGGAGTAGAAAGGGAAACAAAGAGGTTAGGGATGGTAAATTACATGAAATGTGTCATTTCTATGATGTTGTCCGTATTGATGGCGAGGACAAAGCTACTGGGGTGCGACAGCAGGAGTAAGTTCCAGAGCTGATAAAGTTCACCTTCCCATTTGTGTTTATAAAGTTCTTTGGAATGATTATCGTCATGATTTTGAATTTTAATGCAGAGAGACTTTAAAAGACCACAGGCTTTTGTGTAGTTATTTGCCTCTTCTTAGGGAGTTTATCCCGAGTGCTGCGGAGGAAATTGAATCGGATTTACAAGCTTACAAAGTCGGAGAAGGTTAGAATTGATTCTGATTTAACTCTTTTGCATCCCACTCTGTATTCAGAAGTTCTGTTTTGTTTAACGATATGGCAAATTACTGAGGGTTCCGGCCCAAACTGCAAAAACATTTTGAATTCATGCTATCTATTGTCCTGTGTTATATGAAAAGGGGATTCTCAAAAATGTCCCTGTGAAAAACTTAAAACAATTCAATTAATCTAAATTCTATTTCTTGTTTGATTTGAGATTTTCTTTGACTAATCCATTTCCTCGGCAATAGTCTTGTTAACTCTTGAGTCCATAGATTTTAATTTTCCTTTGACATGTAAAGGTCATGCTGTTATTATCTTAAACTAGCTATCCCTTCGGTCACAATTTCTGATAAGATATCTCGATTCCCTTCGGTCACAATTTCTGATAAGATATCTCGATTCCCTTCGGTCACAATTTCTGATAAGATATCTCGATTCGATCTATATGTGAATTAGAAACCATATTTTAGTTGAGACAGATTTGTTGATCAGGTTTTTTTGTTTTTTTTGTTTTTGTTTTGGCACTGATATGCAGATGACTATGTGTATGACTTCTATACTATAAAGGATGAGGTGGACACGACCACTGTTGACGCTTCAAGTCCCTTTCCTCTGTTAGTATTATGGATTCTGTATTTATGCTCCTCTATGTTTTTTTTTTTCTTGTTTATTTTGATATTTGGCTTTGGTCCAGGGTACAAGTAGATGAAGAGGAATTTTGTGACGGGCCTGGTGATTCAGATTATGAAAGCGATGACTCAAATGGTAAGCACAGATTGTTTTGTCTCTAATTTCCCATGTTCACAATGCTTGTATTTCAAGTTACCTCTTTTGGTGTTTCTCAGCTGAAAATAATCCACTGAACGATTATCCCGATGAGACATCAGAAGATGAGGAACTGGAGAGTGAAACCTCTGATAATGAATCAGAAGAAGAGAGTGATAGTGACGGATCTTCAGAATCTGCGGAAGAAGAGCATCATGGCTTGTCGGAAGATGTGAGCCTGCTATACGAAGATGATATCTATGCGTAGTGTAGCTAAAAGCCTAAAACCGTGTCTATATTCTTTTTGTATTGTCTAGTGAAGAATGTTGTTTCTCTGTTTTGGATGGCAAAAGAATGTGCCATTGTGCATCTTATTTCCATTCCAAAGAAAAAACGGAAGGACAAGGGAAAAGAAAAACGCAGCTTGGATCGATTACCCTCTCTTTCTCGCTGAGAAAAGTTGCATAATGGCAACTGTGGATGATGACTGAGCGTTTGTTTGATATGTAAGCCCGCGTACTTATTCCATCGGAATGGACTGGGATCCTCTGTCCAAAAAATGCTGTCCCAACCCTGTCCACCCAATGAAAAGAAGCCACATAATTAACTAACTTTAAATAGTTTTAATGGAGAAAGAAAATACGACCCGTTGTTGCGTGAAAACTCGCAAGTATACGAATTGCACAAGTAATAAAGTGTACAAGAGTACGGGTATCGATCCCACGAGGATTGTGTTTAGTTTTCGTTAAATACCAATATTGATTAGCTGTTAGGATTGTTTTTATATATTTTTATAACTAAAAGAAAATAAAAATGCAAGCAATTGCAAATAATTGAGCTAGGACTTCCTAATTTTCTCTTGATTGCAAAATGCTAAAGCTGTGCTAAAGAAATGCTACAGCATTTTGTATTAGTTAACCAAACTCAAATTTGTGCATAAAGTTCTTCCGAATTAATTATGATTATAATTCCTCAAACCAATTTCATCATATTCCTATGTGAATCTAGTTAATGGAATTCTAATTTCAAGTTCGGGTTTATTAGATTATACAAGGTAAACGATATATTCCTATACCTTCTACAAATCAATATATTCCTATATTGAACATGCATCATCCATGTAAAGTCCAACCTAAATTAATTTTTCCAAATCAATCTAAGTCTAGTTCTACATTTGATTTCCATCAAAAATAAAAATTAAGCAAGTAATTACACATGAATGAACAAGCATAAGAATACCATAAACAATCCAAAAGCAAAAACTAAAACATCACAATCTTAGTTCCACTAGGAGCCTAGCTCACAAAATTAACTAAATAACATCAAGGGTTTCATCATTTATAAATTACAAAAATAAGAGATAAGAAAAGGAATGAAAAACCCATTTTAGGAGTTGTCACAAGCTCTTAAATCCTCCATCTTCTTGCTCTTCACAAAATGAATTCTCCCTCAATAATTTATTGAAAATAAAACCTAAATCTAATAAAATAAAAATATTTGTTTTGGGATTTTTCCCTCTTGAAAAATTGGCTGAAAAGCCTTATTAAATTGCTTCACTCTTTTTCTCTCGGGTTTTTCTCTGCTTCTTTTCCTCCCTGGCTGCCCGTCTGAGGGCTGGAGTTATCTGGGTTCAAAAACCCTTTATTTCGTGTGCAGAAGAGAGCTGCTAACTGAGCTCAGCTGGAGGAGTGCGTTCGGACACGTGGCGCGCCTCAATTGGAGGGTTCGAATTGAATGGACACGCGGCGCTCTCTGGTTCGCTGAGAGAGGGAGGTTTCACGGTACTTCGATGGAATCGCTGCACCGGATCACGCGAGCTGTGAGTGGGGGACAAGCTGGACACGCGGCTTGCTGGGATTGGCCGAAAAACTGACGCAATCCTGCGGAGACGCGCTCCTGTCTGGGGTGATTCCATGCGCCCGATCTGGACCATTGACGCTGCGATCCAACGGCTGGAGTGGAGAGTTTCGTGCTGGTTTCACTCGCGCGAAGGATTTCCATTTTGAGGCTAATTCAAATTCGAATTTTACTCATTTTCTCTTGCATTTCTCTCCCAATTTGAATTTCAATTTGCACTTAAGCCCACCTATCACCAAAATTAAATTACATAATGAGGAAAATAATTATTTTGGAAGGAAACTAAATAAAAATAAAATAAAATAAAATAAAAATATCTAAAACAAACAAAAAATAAAATTAATTCCAAATAAAATAAAATAAAATAAAAATAAGGTAAAAGTATTAAAAACTAAATAAATTCTCAAGAACAAACATACTTTTTAATCCACAAAAGAGGCTAAATAACTCCATTTCATGGAGTTATCACACCCCCAAACTCAAGATTTTGCTTGTCC